ACACCCAAAAGTGGCAGGAAGAAAATTGTATCCAGAAGTTGCCCTGGCCGAGCCAATCTCCTGACATGAACCCCATCGAAAACCTCTGGGCTATACTCGACCGGCAAGTCAAGAAACAACAAAAAAAAAACCAACTTCGACGAGCGATCTACTCCAAGTTTTGAAGCAAGAGTGGGCGGACATCCCACAATCTAAAATTGACGAGATGATTCTCACGGTGCCCCAAAGGATCAACGAACTCCACGAAGTGAAAGGAAGATCTACTAGATATTAATTAAATTATAAATATATCAATTCATGTGAACATGACTGAAAAATTTCATTTTTTTTCTGAAAAGGTGGTGTCTATTTACTTGTGACCACGCTGTGTATACTGACCTGATCAGTCAGCATTTTGTTTCCACGATACTCCACTTCTGGTTATCAATAGCAGCTCGTGGAGTTGAATCATCGGGTGTAACTTTTATTGAAGTATCAAGAGTATTTCAAAGGTAACCTCAAAGACAGAGGTAATGGTCAACTACTATAGCGTTTGCTTTCATTATATGATTAAAATAAAGTACAAAACATTTTTATGAACGGGCACTTTAAGAATTTGGTTTTTATATTAATGAAAACCTAAAGAAAAACGGGTGATCTCAAGAGCTTCCTTTTGCGATATTCCACACTTTTCGATTTTTAAAGTAGTAATTAAAGTATGTAGGCATTTCAACATATGAACACATGTAAAAATCAAAACTGCTGGCACCAAAGGTTTAGTGGAAATTCAGAGTAGACATATTTCAAGCAAGTTAATGCAACGTGGCATTCATAAATTAAATTGTAACCAACAGGTAAGTCACAAACCCCATTTAAGACGTTTGAAAGGAAATGAAAAACTCACACGCTGGTGTAAAACAAATAAAACCTTTAATTGCAAAAACACAGGAGTAGTGACTTCTTTATATAAACTTTTTGTATGAAGGTGGTTTGAAGAATTACAATGCTGGCCAACTTCGATAGTTCACCGTTTAGTCAGACTTCTCATGTAAAATCGAGGTAAAGGAGAAAATTCGATTTACAAGTTTTTCTTGCCTGTAATCAGTTTACAGATGCTTAATTTTAATGTTGATTTAAAAATAGAATTATGTTTTAGATTATGTTGCAAAATTAGGATAAAATATTAATTTCGTCTGAAATTAGAGGTGAAAATATATCTTAAAAAAGGCCGTACATTTGTATTGAACCCCCATTCTTGTTTTAAAATGATAGATTATGTAAAACATTAAAAAAATAGAAGATTTATAACCAAAGACTAAAGCGATATGCATTTAACCAACAAACATAATGTTAAAGAAATTTTCCAACCGAAAAATGACACTCATGGCTGTCTCATTGTGCGTCAATACTCCAGTCCAATCTTTGGCAGGAGGTTAAATAATATGTGTGGTCGAGTAGGTGGATTTAATGAAATGTCATTCTGGTATTTTTCGTCGCCCAAGAAATACCGTCTTCATCGAGTTCAAGCACTTTTTTTTATTGTCCAAGTAACAATATACTTCAAATGTTCAGAAAATAATTATTTATGCTCCGTCGAACATAGCTTAGTGTCAAGGCCTCATGACAGTATCGACTTATATTTGAGGAAGAAAGCACATTATGCTGATGTATCAAGTAGGTAAAAACACAACGATTTATAAGCATAAACATGTCGAACATGGTGTAGTATGTTCCACCATGAATTAAAACATTTGTTTTCTTTATTCTTATAAATCGTTGTGTACCTACCTATTGAATCATTGGCTTATGAATTATTAAGTAACCTTCTGCTAACGGTTGGACTTAAATATTTACCTTGATTCTGAAGGTACATATTCTTAATTCGCCTTATGACGTAACACGTATTGACAATTAGCAAGATAGGAAAAATGACGAGGTCATTTTCTCTCTCGGAAATGAAAGTGTTTACTTAATTTGGCAAGATTCACTGGTAATGAAATTAAATGGAATAGTAATTTTACAGCTAGGACTAAGGAGTGAATCCAGGATTATTGCAAAGGGGGAATATTCTTCCATTCGGTCACCAAACCTTTAAAACAATTCATGTTGCAGGGTCACCTTAAGGTTGTAGAAAAACTATAATTGTCAGCATCAGAGATTATATCTGAGACAATCAGGAAAACTAAACTTGTAAGTCCAAACTATTTATTTGGTAACCTAACGTAAGGGGAGTTTAAACCATTAACTCACTCCTGAATGACACAGCTTATAGTCAAAATTCTTTTATCTCATATAATTATCAACATTTAAACTCATAATGAAGTTTATTATAAAACTTTTTGTTTGTTTTGAATTTCGCGCAAAGCTACACGAGGGCTTTCTGCGCTAGCCGTTTCCCAATTTAGCATCTACTGAACACCATTCAGTGCCAACTGTTGGGCTACTCTTTTACTAACAAATAGTGTGATTGACTGTCACATTATAACGCCCCCAAGAC